CTTCACTGAGTTACGCAAGCCCCTTCGCCACGACAAGGCAGTGATCCATGAAGGGGAATGGATCATAGAACAAATCAGTTCAGAACGCTCACTCAAGGCATAAATGACCAGGCTCACATTATCATATTTTGGACACATTATGTGAAGACCTAGCTATAATGCTGGGAAGGAAAGAGAAAAGGATGACCAGCAGCCAGATGGATGGACTGAGTTACCTTACAGCACTGATGGGTGTACCACTGGTAGACTTGAAGGGCCAGGTCGGGGACAGATCATCCCAGAGAAAATCTGACTACTGGTACTTAAGAGTCTGCACTGACTTGATGGCTGCTGCTAAGATTAGTTACACAGGCTGGGTTTATGGAGCACAGGGCGCTAAAATGCGGCAGGCTTAATGTGATTTGGCGTTCTGGCTAATGGTAAGGGAAGTTAATAGCGCACATGTTCGGCATACAGGTTTTCTCAAAAGTAACTCATATTCAGATCAGCGGGCCTTACTTTTAGCGACTCTGGGGTCACAGCCTAAAAGAGAGGAAATGCGAAAGAGCGGCGCCCCAGCCAACCTCTGTCCCGAAGTGGTTGCCCGGGCAGGCTGAGAGCGATTAACTACATTCTTCAGTCCGAAGGTTTCAGGTTTGAGGTCCCAGGGCACCCAGCCTCACCCCACAGAGTTGCGATCATCGGTATCTGGGCGGGGCTTCAAGGGACAGGGGACGGCCTTCCTTTTGGGGTGGGTGCAGCGCCTGTTAGCTCGCTGCCCGCCCCGGTTGTAGGGGAGAAGGGAAATTAGCTACGCAGTTGATATACACTGGTGCTTGTCGAGTAAAGAAAGCTGCGTGGGTTGGAGGCTTGCGCGGGCAAGGACTTGCTTTCAAAGTTTTGATCGTTAGTCATAACTATAGGAGAACGCAACCAGCTGGGAGAATGAGCATCGCATATTTATTGCGCAGACTTAAAATGCAAATCACAGGCTCGTTAACAACCATGCTCATAGGGTGGGGAGGTTATTGCAGAAATGCTTCAGGTTACAGAAGGGAGGCGCGTCTGCACAGCCCCACCCTTTAAGCCGTTCTCGTAAACCAGTTTTTTCCTTAATAAGGCGGGAGGCAACGGGCCCTCGTCAAACGTAAGCTGAGGCTCCCTCGCAAGCCCGGCCTTTCCGCAACCACTCTGGCCTCCTCGCTGTGACACGTGGGGCTGGGTGTCTCCGCGGCCATGAATATGAATTAGAGCGGGCGTGGCCAGCCTGGGCCTTGATAGGGCCGTCATGAATATGCAAACAGTGCGAGGATCGCCGGAGCCTCTGTCGGGCCCCGGATCGCCGAGCCTGGTAAGGAGCCCTCCGCGGCCGCCGCCCCCGAGAAGGGGGCAGCCGCGTGTGTCTTTTCGCATCCCGCGCACTGAAATCTCGGCTTGCAGAAAGTCGCGGGATGCACGGACGCTCTGGGCGGGAGAGGTTGGGGGAGGGTCGAGGCCGGGGATAAGGGGGTGCGGGAAAAGGGAAAG